GGGGGGGGGGCAACTGATAGCCATAACTGACTGATGCAAACTAAATATGGTTTAAATGAAGATAGGATCGGCAATAATTGGCAATAATTACTAATTATTGTCAAATTTCAAACAATATTATCATTTATGGCAATAATTTCTGAGACAATTAATCACCCAGCAAAATATGTGACAGGCCTACGCCCGGGCTAACATCACCTTAAATCTAAATGATAAAATGCTGCCACTTAAATTAACAAATACACAAAGCCATTATGGGCAGCACGGTGGCGCAGCTGGTAGAGCTGCTGCCTCTCAGCAAGCAGGTCCTTGGTTCAAACCCCGGTCCAGGGGCCTTTCTGGGTGGAGTTTGCATGGTCTCTCCGTGCATGCGTGGGTTTTCTCCGGGTACTCCGGTTTCCTCCCACAGATCAAAAACATGCATGTTAGGCTGATTGGTAACTCTAAATTGTCCCTAGGTGTGAGTGAGAGAGTGAATGGTTGTTTGTCTCTATGTCCCTGTGATGGACTTGCGACCTGTCCAGGGTGTCCCCTGCCCCTCGCACAGTGATTTCTGGACATGGGCACTGGCGACCCCCGTGACCCAAAAATGGAAGAAGTTGGTAAAAGATAATGAATGGATGAAGCCATTACATTTTTTAGGTTTAGGTCTAAGCTAAAGTTTATTTCTTAATGAAATGCCATTCAGTGAAAATGCAACAAAATTGTTTTACATATTTGCTGCCATGAAAGGCAGGATATCACGCAATTGGCTGTGTGTGCATGTGTCTGTTAGCAAAATATCTCATGACTCTCTAGACAGATTTTATTTAAACTCTCAGAAAGTAATCAGTAGATCTACATCTATAACTAATTAGTTTTTGGAGTCAATCAGATTAAAGATGGGCACCATGGCTGTTCAACCCTAAACACAAAAATGGCTGTAGTTCAGTTAAGTTTGGCGATATGTCACTGAAATTTGATGTAGTAGTAGCTGAGAGTCAGCCTGAACACATACTCTGAGCTCTAATGGAGCACACACATTGTTTAAACCTTTGACATGCAAGATGGTGGGTCGTGTTATAATTACTTGTATATAAAATATGATTAAAAAAAAAACCTAAGTGAGCAGAATAAGAAGAAGAGAAGAAGAGAAAATATGAAGGTTCCCTGATCATGTACGGTGGCTCTGAAGTTTAAAACACCAGCATGTTTTACATTCACTTCATATTTTGTGCGACATTTACACCAAACTACTTTTAGTTCTTGTTTTGTTGATCTACTAGTGTAGGACAGTGAGCTTCAAACTCTGGGGTGGGGGTGTGGGGGGGTGTGGGGGTGGGGGGGTGGGGAGATGTTGTATTGAGGTGCCAAACAGGAGCAGAGCAACAGACGATGAATTTGAAGGGACAACAGATGACTAAAAGCAGGAAAACACATCTGCTATGTTTCATTTCCACAGCTATGCTGCTGGCAGCTTGGCATGGGGGACATTAATGTTGCTCAGTCTGACCCCCCCCCTCATTAAATGGATAAAGTTGGTGTTTATTTCAAACCCGGAGTGTGAACGGTGACTCCTCTCTGAAAGCAGTCTAAATGGGTTCTAGGCAAGTCACTTTAAACGACAGTAAGTCTAGCACTAATTTTAAATTGTGTTTTTCAGTAGCTAAAGGCTGCGAGTCATGTAATGATCAGGACTAGAGTACCTGTTGCTCCCATGATGAGTTTAGTTTGTAGCAGTGGTGCAGTCTACATTTTGTACTGGCTATACTGTGCTTAGAACCCGAAGTACACCGGTTAGTACGATGTAATTGTCAATTTATTTAGATTTTTAAGCATATTGAACATTTCAAAATTGCTATGATGCTTATATTTGAATAAATGTACAACAAACTTTGTACAACAGTTGGCCTTGTATTAAAAACATGTTATAGAATTTATAAAACAGTATCAAAGCAAGTATTATGTAGTAAGTACTGAAGTATTAATTATGCAAAAAAACAGGTTGAATCAACTCAATGTATCTATAAAATGTTCCAAATGTGTTGACAATGACATGAGTACGGTGGCCCTAAGGTGTAAATGAACAACATTTGAAAAAATGGAATTATATTTGAAAAAACACAACAAAAATAACAAAATCACAACAACATTAGAAAAAACAGAATTACATTAATATGTCACGTGTCATTGGGCACTTTTAAGTGGGTATACTGAAATTCCCAAGCTTTTCTAGTGGGTATATTCTGTATACCTGCGTATCACATAGACTACACCACTGCTTTGTAGTGTCTGTATAATGAGACTAATGTGTGTGAGGCTGTGTCCCTCGGGTTTTGTAACACGATTAAGCCAGCAGCAGTTGATCAGGAGTGACTCAAACACAGCAGGCAACTGTGATTTTTAGTGCCTCAGCTTCCACACAAGGTCAATGAGCTGCGTGTTCAGTGACTTAATCTCTGTTGACAGTTCTTCAGCATTTTACTGCACAATTAGGAAGAATATTTAATCTGTGTTTGCGTGCGTTTGCATGTGTGCACGCACAATGTGTTTTTTTTTTCATAATTATAAATGTTTGTTATCCTAATTATTTCCAAAATGTTTGCAAACAGCTGATTAGTTCTACCTCACGGGGGCCGAGATGATGTAGAGGTAGGGCAGCCGACCTGGGGCCAGAAAGTTGCAGGTTCAACTCCCCGCCATGCCCACATATCGTGGTGTCCTTGCGCAAGACACCCAATCCCTAACTGCTCCCCGAGCACCCACATAGCTGCCCACTGCCCCACCTGGATACATCTCATGTGTGATGGGTTAAATGCAGAGAACTAATTTAGTTGTTGTATGGGAACAGACAGTGATGACAACACATAGCACTTACTTCTTCTTCTGTATTTCACAATATAAAATGGCCTACATTCATACAGAAATAAATTATTTAATAAAAAAAAAAAATCTGTAATAAAATTACCATGCTGGATCAGTGGTAAAGGTGTTTTTCTGTTTTCCAAAGATGAAACCACACTAATGTAACATCCATAAGAAGGTGAGGGTAAAAACACAGAAAGTGACCAAGAAAAGTTTTTTTTATTCTCTGCGATTATCCATTCACATATTCTAAGTTTTATATTATTATTATTATTATTATTATTATTATTATTATTATTATTATTATTGTTGTTATTATTGTTATTATTTATTTATTTAATATATATATATATTATAGTGTATTTATACAGCAAAAGGTGTAACTAATATTCTTGCCACAAGGGGACAGAAAAGGTTCTGATTTTCACTTTAACCATCAAAAGATTTTTATTTAAGGGTGTAACATTCCTTGAAGGATCATATTTTGCACATTGTTTCTCATACAAGAGTTTTAGATGATCATCATCTTATGTTGTAGTTTAGTTAAACCTTAAAAATTAAAATATGCACAATCTCATGTTTGGATCTTGCATTGTGACTGATTGGCTAAAAAAACACAAAATTTGATGTCATTATTGGGAAAAATGTAGTCATTTCCATTTCTGTGTATGTTAATTGTTCTTGTGGCTATTTTAAATTGCGTTGGCTCAAAAAGTTCACCAGTTGTAGACCATCCATTACTTACCATCCATTGATTACTGTGACCCACATCTTCAATCTCTCCATAAGCCAAAACTCCATTCCAGACACTTGGAAAGCATGCTTTGTTCTACCTTTACTGAAGGGAGGTGACCCCACCTCACTGAACAACTATCGACCAATCTCTAAACTCTGCATTTTAGCCAAGGTTCTAGAAAAACTGATAAACTCTCAAATCAAAAATTACCTGGACTCATTTAACATCTTACCTCCACATCAATCTGGTTTCAGGAAACAACACAGCACAACCACTGCTTCACTGAAGGTTCTTAAAGACGTTGTTGAAGCACTGGATGCTAAGGATTATTGTGCTGCACTTTTTTTAGACCTGTCTAAAGCTTTTGACACTGTGGATCATAACATCTTGTGTCATAAACTCACAGAAATTGGTTTCTCAGAACACACCATTGGTTGGTTCTCTAACTATCTCTCAGACCGGAGGCAATGCGTTCAACATAATGGTACTTCCTCCAGTTATTTAACAGACAACAATGGTGTACCTCAAGGCTCAGTCTTAGGACCCACCCTCTTTACAATTTACATAGGTAATGTAGGTCAAAACATCCCTGATGCATCCATACATTTCTATGCTGATGACACAGTTGTTTATTGTCGAGCTAAAACAGTTGCTAAGGCTTTCCAGCTTTTGAAATCTGCATTTAACACCATCCAGACAGATTTGTTCCACATCAAACTTGTCCTAAATGCCGACAAAACCAAAGGGATGATTTTTTCAAACAGGAAGTCGGCCCCAGCAGTTCTTCCTCTGATTTCATCCTCAAATGGTGTCCGGATTGAGTTTGTTGATTCCTATAAATATTTGGGTATCTTGGTCGACTCACATCTCTCTTTTAAGCTCCATGTGGAAAACTTGGTAGAGAAACTGAAAGTTAAACTGGGTTTCTTTTTCAGAAACAAATCCTGTCTAACCCTGAATGCTAGGAAACACCTTGTATCTGTGACTTTCCTTCCCTCCATCGATTATGGTGACATTATTTACATGAACGCTCCTACAAGAACCCTGCAGATGTTGGATGCTGTCTATCATGGTGCACTAAGATTCATAACTGGCTGTGATTATCGTACCCACCACTGCACCCTGTATTCACTGGTTAACTGGACATCATTAACTTCACGCAGACTCTCTCACTGGCACATTTTCATCTTTAAATCTCTTCTTGGTCTGTTGCCTTCATACATCTCCTCCTACATGTATCTGCATGAGTGCAGCTACAGCGTGCGCTCTCAGGACATTGTTACCTGCAGTGTTCCCTCAGTGAGGACTGAACTTGGCAAAAGGGCCTTCTCCTACTCCGCTCCTGTTTCCTGGAACATCTTACAAAAAAATTGAAGCTCTCGACCTTGACCTCTCTAAGTGGCTTTAAGAATCTGTTGGACTCCTGGCAGGGACCAATGCAGACATGTTCCTGTTTTTAGTTTTCTACATTCACCTTAGAATCTAGCTGTTTTTTTTGTTGTTTTTTTTGCCATCTTATTTGTAAAAAAAAATAAAATAAATAAAAAACAAACAAAAAAAAAAAATATATATATATATATGCCTTTTTATATTTGTCTATTGTTGTCGCTGTTGTCCACTCTTGTCATCATTCTTTGTTGAAATCAGGTCTCTCTTGTAAATAAGTCCTCGAGGCTCAATGGGATTTACCTGTCTAAATAAAGGTTGAATGAAAACTTTCTGAAAGTTTAATTAAAATCATGTGTTCAGTGATTCCTGAAATATTTTTCTCATGATACAAACACTCACACTGGCATGGGCAAAAACATTATCCCTCTCCCTTCTCTTTCGGTGTTGGGTAATGGTAATGATGATGAGCAGGACAAACGCTGTGGTGAAGTTAAAACATATGTCAAAACATTTACCTATATATATAAATGTAGATATATATATATGTACATATGTATATATATATAATATGTTTTACAAACCAAATCAGATATACAGTATTTTTGGGGTAAGTCACTTACATGAGCAAGAAATGTCATTTCTTTTGCTTAAGATTAAGCATATTTAAAGGAGTTAATACTATACAGTTAAATTGTTTGTGTGTATTATTGAACTTGTATGTTTTTGTTGTATTTTTTTATTTTTATTTTTTTACATTAAAGGTGTGGTTTATTGCAAGTGGGAGACCGAGTGTTGTCCATCAATGGTATCCCGACTGAAGAGGGCACTTTGGAAGAAGCTCATCAGCTGCTCAGAGACTCCGCTCTGACTAACAAAGTGACCGTGGAGGTGGAGTTCGATGTAGCAGGTAACACAAACGAGAACGTATTCCTAATTTAGATTAATGTTACATTTCTCCATTTAAGATGATTTTTAATTAGTCATTTAAACTGCAGAGTCTGTGGTTCCGAGCAGCGGCACCTTCCATGTTAAGCTCCCCAAACGGAGAGGAGTGGAGTTGGGCATCACCATCAGTGGTAAGTTTGAGGCAATCAGCAGGGGTCAGTGTTCCTCAGGGACTCAGGATGCTGGGTTCTGTCATCCATAAGACAGGCTTGTTGAAAGTGCACGGCTCATTACTTCTAAATAATACTGGTCTGTACCAACATCCTTCATTAACCTTTCTGCTCTGACTAGCTCCGGAAAGATATACAAACTGGATGCCAACAAAAGGAAAACACAAACAGAACATTTTGAAATGATCAGAGGTCACATGGTTCTGTTTTACCAGCAACTTTCTTCTGTTTTACCAGCAAGTAAGAAACCTGGCCAGCCTCTGATCATCTCTGGCATCAAGAAAGGGAGCATAGCACACAGGTGTGTTTCATCATGTTAACGTTCGCTGCTCATTTCTCACAGCATTAAGATACAGATTCATGTCTGCCGTGGAAGAACGGTTTTAATAGGATTGAGTTATTAAAATTAGATCAGTGGGATGGCTACATTTCAGAAGGGCTCAGTGTTGATTGAGTTGAAGGGTGAGGTTAGGGTCACCCCCTCGGATCCCACTGAGACATGAGCCTAATAGGATTCTGATGCAGGTCTCGGTTAATAGTTTTGATCCTCCTGCCTCTTGTGTCTGCTAGAACAGGCACTCTGGAGCCCGGAGACCGGCTGCTGGCCATTGATTCAGTGCGTCTGGAGGACTGCACCATGGAGGATGCCATGCACGTCCTGCAGCAGGCCGAGGACATGGTCAAACTGCGCATCCAGAAAGACGAGGACAACATTGGTACACGTGTCCTTCAAAATCCATATTCACATCACAAATTACATAACAGTGAATCAACTATTATATATTGGTTCAAAAACATTAGAAGTGTAACTCGTGAAATGCACAACAAAACATCCATCCATCCATTTTCTTTACCCGTTTATTCCATTTTGGGTCACGGGGGTCGCCGGTGCCCATGTCCAGCAATCACTGTGCGAGGGGCGGGGTACACCCTGGACGGGTCGCAAGTCCATCACAGGGCCACATGGAGACAAACGAGACAAACAACCATTCACTCTCTCACTCACACCTAGGGACAATTTAGAGTTACCAATTGGCCTAACATGCATGTTTTTGGTCTGTGGGAGGAAACCGGAGCACCCGGAGAAAACCCACGCATGCACGGAGAGAACATGCAAACTCCACCCAGAAGGCCCCTGGACCGGGGTTTGAACCAGGGACCTGCTCGCTGAGAGGCAGCAGCTCTACCAGTTGCGCCACCGTGCTGCCCCACAACAAAACACTGTCTTCTAATTTAAAAGAAATAGTTTCTAAACAGAGTAAAAGGTCAACATAAATCCTATAATGCTCACTTGCAATGTAGTAAGTTAAGCCAAAATGTTGCAACATAAAAACTGAACCTCAAAGTAGCATCATAAAAAAGCAAAGAAAAATTAAACTAGTTTGATGAAATTCATATTGCCCACCTCCTTCCATGCCAAAGTTTTAAACAAAGATGCTGTGTGATCTATTGGTGCTCAGAACATGAGTCGGGGATGACTCTCAGGTACTACCACATCAAATTGTATCTTAACATGAATACATTAATTTAGGATGTGTTAAGACGTTAGTCTAAAAGCACCAGCTCCTCTAGTTTTTGTGTTTAGATCTTTATTTTTAGTCACATTTGATTGTTTCACCTTTGAATTTTGAATAGAAGTCCTTTTTTTCTGGAAATAAGCTAAATCATTTTGCTACAATATCTAGCAATAAATGAGTAAAATGGTTTCTACTAGGGATGCACAATACTGGATTTTTGGCCGATATCCGATATATCAATATGTTAAAACCTATTTGGCCAATAACCAATATTGATATTTTTTCTCTAGACCTACTTACAGAGACTACACAGCTTTCTCTGCTGTGAAATTAAAATACTACATTATTCTTCATGGTCTTTGTCAGTTTGGCCTGCTACCAAATACAGATGTCAAAAAGAAGTTGAAAATGATGTAACACTTGCATGCACGTTCTCCTTTGGGATTCTCCACTTTCCTAGCGTGCCATCAAAAGCATTTGCAATGGTAGCTGCAGTGTGGCATCCTCTTCACTCTTGTGCATGATGAAAAGGCACATGATGGCACTCGTGCCTTTTTAAGTTCAAAGTTTTTGTCTATTCATTGTGCCGGGAGACTAATCATGCTAACGTCACATGATAATCATGTGACGTAATAACGTGCTGGTGCTGCAGACATCCTTGTCACTGGGTTGTCTTACAAAAACAGCACCTTTTATGTCGGTGAGTTATTTTGATGGAATGGCCGATGTCCGATATTTAACTTTATCACGAATATCGGCCAATACCGATACCATGCCGATAATATTGTGTATCCCTAATTTCTACTTATTCTAAATACTTAACGCTTCATTTGATGCCTCTGATCTTTGAATGCATCTTGTCTGTTATGTGTAGATGAGTTGGAGATGTCTGGCTCAATAATCTACACAGTTGAGCTGAAGAGGTATAACGGACCTCTGGGCATCACTATTTCTGGCACAGAGGAACCTTTTGACCCCATCGTCATTTCTGGTCTTACCAAGAAGGGTCTTGCTGAGAGGTGAGTGAAGAACAGGACAAGGTGACACATCGATATGAACACAGATTTTATTGATTTATTAGCCTTTACCAAATAATTTAGGAGCTCTTTGCAACTTTTTTTTTTAATAACGAATGGTAAACAATGGCTGTCTCATCTCCCTTCTGTAACAAGCAGTCTTTGTTTCTCTGTCAGTCCACGATCCCTGGCAGCCTGACATGTTTTTCCTGATGGTATGGTCTGGTATAGTCTGGTTTCTTTGTATTCCATGCAGGACTGGGGCCATCCATATAGGGGACAGAGTCCTGGCCATCAACGGAGTCAGCCTTAAAGGAAAGCCGCTGAGTGAGGCTATCCATCTGCTGCAGATGGCCGGAGAGTCCGTCACGCTCAAGATCAAGAAACAGTCCGATAGTATATATACATTCACCTTTTTAAAATCCTTTTGCTTTAATCTCAGTGGGAAGTTGTTTCTTAATTAAGTTGATGTGTGAAACAAAAAAAAAGTAAATGTTAGTTTTCTGCTGTGTTTGTTCAGAGTCAGAGTGCCGCCGGCCTCCCGACAGAGAAGCTGGGTTTTTAAGCGATCCAGAGGACGAACTGACGGAATCTCATAAAACCAATAAACACTCAGTCTACTCAGCCACTGTACCCAGTATAGACTCTGCCATGAGCTCTTGGGACAGCTCAGGGTTCGATGCAGGCTACATCGCCCAAGGTGACGCCCAACTCTTCACTTTCTGTCTAAGGTTCACACTTACTCTCATTTAGCCTGAAAGATTTTACATTTAGGATCCACTTCTGTCCCTTTTCCCACTAAACAAGTTCGCCAGAGTCACAAAACATAAACCTTGAAATAACGTTAACTCATTAAGTGTTATATAAAACCTACAAATTTTTAAAAATTGTTGTTTGAAATAAAATGACTTTATTACGGATAATTCTTGATCAAATTCAAACAGTGATCAAAGTGAGATACTTTCATTCTAATAAATTATTCATGTAAACCTGAACATAGGCCGGTTTGTTGATGTGTAATTGTGACTTACCGTATTTTTCGCCCTATAAGTCACATTTTTTGCATAATTTACATGCCCTGTGACTTATACACTGAAGCGACATATTTATGGATTTTTTCCCCATATTTATAAACCAATTTTGGGCTGAGATATGACCGTTTTCATTCATTCTGACTGAAAATATTGATCATTACCATTTTCAGCCGCTAGATGGCACTCGAGTAATATAGCATGCCGTTGTGTCATGTAATAGCTAAAAGTGGCTATTAATGACACAGTCGGCTTGCCATACACTGACACCTTCGTCCAGCTCGCCTGAAGCAACCATCAAATCAGCTTCATTTTGCTGCGCTGCTCCTGTGAGACCAAAGCATTTATTAAATAAAGATAAACTGAGACACACCTTTGCTATAATTTTGAGCAAACAAATAATTGTTTTAGGTGCTTATCTTGTTAAATTTTGAAGAAATGCGCAGCCTTCCTCCTTCCTGATTTCCTCCCTCTACGCACCGAGCACCGAGGCAGCAAATACTTTTGAAATACAGCTTATTTGACCATTAAAGTCATTTTAATTAGGAAAAGCTATACTGAGACACAACTTTACTATAATTTTGAGCAAACAAATAATTGTTTTTAGGTGGTTATCTTGTTAAATCTCGAAGAAATGCACAACGAGTCCTCCCGTGCACGCTCCCGCAGTCACGAATCGGTTTTTGAACTGTAGCTAATTTGCCCAATGAAGTGCATTTATTAAGGAAAAGTTAAACTGAGACATGCCTTTGCTATAATTTTGAGCAAACAAATAATTGTTTTTAAATGTTAATCTTGTTAAATTCTTGTTAAAGTCCTCCCGTGCATGCTCCTGCGGCCGCCATTTGGCAGCCAATCGATTTTTGGCACAACACTCGCCCACATTTTCGGGTTGTCAGTGGTGACGCCTAACAAACACAATGTGTCAGCAGTGATGCATAATAGATGCGACATATATGGCAAAGCGACATATTTATGGATTTTTCCACTTTATTAGACATATTTGGACTGATGCGACTTATAAGGCAGTGTGGCATGTATGGCGGAAAATACGGTACTAATCTTTTTTTAATCAAGGCGTAGATCTTTAATATTTTAAATACAGCCTTTTCTTATTATTGCTTGCTGGAATGACTTGCACGTTTGTACAGCTTTTTTAATGGGTAGCTCGATTTACTGTTATACAGGAAAACTGCAAAGTTTTTCCTCTTCTAAAAATAGGAATGATCTGTTATAATTTGGTCCAGTCTACAAAAAGCAGCTGCAGAGGGACCAGAGAACCAGATGTTGCAAACTTCTGGTCTAATGAGATAAATGAGATTTATTTAATTGTTTTTAGGAACCTATCTGCCTAAAAGTTCTGATTTGCTGCTAAATCCACCTGAGTGGAGGCGTCCGAAACACAAGAGTCACATCACGTCTGGCTCTGCAGGTCTGGCCCATCAAACGGCGCTCTATGATGGGAGGTTCACTGAGGACGAGTGGGACAAGATACCTGGGTAAGTGTCAAGGCCTGGAGTTAATTTCCAAAAGGATTTAAAAATAAACTTAGCATTGAATTTCATAAAAATGTTTATTCACAATTCCTTCCACAATCTGCAGAAACAAACATTTGCTAAATTGTAATATGTGTGGAAAAGATTGTGATTTTCTGCCCTTTAGTTTAACCATGCTAAGGTTATTTTTTATGTTAATCTATTAGAAGCTTTAAAAATGTAATTTCATAGTTCTTTGTGGCTGGTATCAGTTATTCATAGTTCTTGTAATCATGAAAAATGGAGTATGAATAATTGAGGATGAGTGTGGTGCAGATGGATAGAAAGGCTTTATCATTTAAAATAATGTAATTATTCAGTTTTTACATAAAGTGTGTTTAGTTTAGCAACACAGGCACAAATGTAATTAGATCTTGTGGAACAGTTTATTTTATCCACAGTTCAGGTTACAACTCACAGGTGGAAAGTTGTTCCCTCTGGTTGTGGTTCATCAGTTTATATTTTGCAGCAATGTTTTTATTTTTATGGGCTTAATATTAAAGTTTTGTTGCAACACCTCCCCGTGAGTTTTGAACTTTTCCACTGTGTGTGTGTCGATGTAGATTTAAGTTAAAGTCTTCATTTCTTTCTTTGTTTGAGTCGCACAGTTCTGGTCAGATCACACTGAAAACTGAAATGCACAATCTTGAACTTCTCAAGATATTTGTGTAAATATCATTTTAATTGTTATCAAAGTACTGAGGAACATAAACATGGGTCTAAATTGCATGATGGAAATATTTATTTGTCCTGATTGGAACTGATATCTGGTCCTCAAAGGAAGAAAAAGCTGAACTGAAAGAAAAAAAAAATAGTGAAAAAGCAAGAAAATAATCTGTGGAGCTCTGAGATCACACAGTACAAGAAGTATTGAATGTATTGAACATAATGAGGTGAAAATATTTTACAAATAGGGTTTTTCAGTGACACGAAATTATATTTATTTATTAACCTTTGTTTAACCAGGCAAATCCCACTGATATCATGGATATCCATTGGGAGGTCTGGGCAGCCCAAACATGCCTGTTTTTGTATTGAAATAAAAATTAATAAAATTGTTTTATTAAAGGTCTGCAGTGACTTGAAGTGTACAATCAGCCAAACACACAATTTAAATAAAATACAGAGTTTTTTAATTCTAGCAAGCAGTGACCCAAACTAAGGTCTGAAAACTGTTGATGCTACAGACCTCCACCAGTGGGGATTTTAGCCTCGTTCTGGGGGTGCTCAAGCACCCCTAAATTTTAACTTAGCACCCCTGAAAAATAAAGACACAATCATTAGGATTTTGTAAAGAAACTCAGTTCTCAAACTTTAGATTCACCAAAAATATTGAATAAATTTGGAATAAATATGGAATAAATAATGACCCCTTAAACAGTAAGCAAAATCTTTTTTTTTTTTTTGCAATAGTTGGATCCATGATGCCACCTGTCAATCATTCCAGTAGGCTCATCAGCAACTGACCAATCGGCGACCTTAATTTGTACCGAACCCTACCCACCCCTCTATTCACACAAGGAGAGCTGTTGGTCAGGCTACTTCTTGTTGCTCTCTAAAATAGGTATTGAATCAAGTGTTTACTTTTGCAGGTAAACGTAGATGTTAAACAAACTGTTAAAATACACCAGACCACAGGAAATGTCTACTATATTCAAAATTTTCTGGGGGAGGACCCCTAGACCCCACCACCAGTGTGTCCCCCACCACATAAATGATTCTGATGACAATAGCCATTGCACTGATCACTAGCCATTGTCAGCACTGGGGGCTAAGCACCCATAAAGGGCATATTCTAGAATCTCCCCTGACCTCCACAAACCTGAAAGCTTGATTAGCTGTAAGGTAGAAACAGACCAACACAAGCCTCAGGTTGTCTACACACACAGGCTGCTGCTGCCTTGACATCCTGAAGTGTGCCAGTAATTGTCCTTAATGCATTGTTTCAGTGGTTCTGACCAGAGCTCGTCCCATGTTGAAGTCACTTTTTTCTTGTTTTATAAAAACTATCATGTGAAGTTTTTTTGTTCTGGGCTTTTCCAAACTGCCTTTTTTTTCTTCTTTCTCAGGTATTCGTTCTCTCATCTGCTTTACTAACGTCTCGCAAGTTCTTTGGTGTTTCACGTAGATGCATTTTGTTCCTGTCACCCCTTATCAAAAAGAAAAACATCTCCCTCAATGACTCAAGGATACATCCACCTTATGTCTTCCCTCACGCTTGACTTTCCTGAACTTTTGTGTTGTTCGCTTTTAAATGTCCTTTTTTTTTACGTTGGACTTTTTGTAAATTTTCAAGGCTTCATTTAACCTAGTGGACTCCCCATCGACTGTTGCAATTTTACTCAATTGCGCTCTTGAGGAATTCCTGTTTTAAAAAGGGCCTCTTCAGTTTTGGTGCCCAAAAACTCCCCATCCCGTGCTGCTCTTGTAGGCAGCATCCACCTCCAGCCTTGAAGGGTTGCTCTCATGTTCTGGTTCCTGCGTTGTCGTAGATTCGTCAGCCTCCCTCGTTGCCACGGGACCTTGAACAAGGATGACAGCTTCTGGTCCCAGGCTCTGCAGGACCTCGAGACCTGTGGCCAGTCAGAGATTCTCAGAGAGTTGGAGGTAGGTAGCAGGAGGAGCTTCTGTCCATCTACTTTGCCCTTTTGTATCCTCAGACTAAATGAACATGCCCGATGAAGCATTATGAAAATCATCAGTCTAATCTGTTATTAAACCTGACAAGACAAGCCAGGCACCTGCTGCTAAACTGACAAAGGAAGGATTTTACACAGTGCCTTGGACTCTAATCTAAGTTTGCTGCATAAGAGATTATACAGGGGATTGAAAACGCATTCACCCTCCATACATTCTCTGTTTGGTTGCTTTACAACCTGGATTGTAAAATTTCAATTCAGATTATTTATACAGCGCCAAATCACAACAGAAGTTGTATCAGGGCACTGAACAGAAACATTCATGTACAAGCTAATTAGTAAAGTTCTCTAAGGAAGGAAGCCAGCAGATTCGATGAATCTTCACTTTGTTGCAGTCTCCCATCCTGAACAAGCACAAAGGCAACAGTGGAAAGGAAAAAACTCCCTTTTAGCAGGAAGAAACCTCCAGCAGAACCAGGCTCAGGATAAGTGGCCATCTGCTTCAACCGGCTGGGTTTGAGAGGACAGGAAGGAGAAACAAACAAACACAGAATGGCAGGTCCAGATGTAGGTGCAGGTGTACCCCCTATTGGAAGAAAGACAAAAACACACATCAAGGATAGAAAAAAAGACAAATAAAAAAAGAAGTAGAAATACAAAATAGGTAGAGTAAGTAAAGACAGCAGCTGATTGAAGAAATTTGGTCATTTTGTCCTCCAGCAGTCCAAGTCTATAGCAGCATAACTAAGGGATAAATCAGGAAACCCAAGCCAACCCTAAGATTTATCCAAAAGTAAAGAGTAGTTTTAAAACTGGACAATGTGTCAGCCACACGGACAGAAACTGGAAGTTGGTTCCACAAGAGAGGAGTCTGATAACAGGAAGATCTTCCTCTCATTCTGCTTTTGAAAACTAGGAACCACAAGTAAACCTGCAGTTTGAGAGCAAAGTTTTCTGTTAGAAAAATATGGAACAAAATGAGCTTTAGGGGTCTATATCTTTTAATTTATGCAACATATACCACTTTGAAGCTGCAAAATACTGTTTTGTTGTGAAACAAGCAAGAAATGAGGATAAAGACAAGTACCATCAACTCCCTCAACACCCACAATTTAAAAACTGTGCAGTAGAGACACCTTTTGTAACAATTACAGCAGCAGGACTTTTCAGGTACATCTCTAAAGTTTTGGTACATCTAGTCACTGCAATTTTAGCCCATTCTCAACAAATAAATTCAAGTTTAAGTTGGATGGGTTGGATGGTTGCTTGTGTACAACCATATTTAAATCATTTTACATGATCTTGACTGGACTGATTAATTTAAATAGACCATTACAGGACAATTTGCAGAGTGTTGCTTCAGCTGTGTTTAGGACCAGTGTCCTGCTGGAAAATAAACCTCCATCTCAGCCTCATATCTCTGAAGTTTCCTTGAAGAATTTCTCCTTATTCTCCATTTAAGTTTTCTCTAAATGACCAGTTCCAGTCCCTGCTAATAAAAAAATAGAAAAATTTGCATGATGCTGCCACCACCATGGTGTTCTCAGCATAACAAGAAGTGGTAATTTGCTTCAGACATGGGGATGTCCTTAATGGTCTAAACATTCAATTTGAGTTTCTTCTGACCACAACTTCTTACACACATGAGGAGTTTCCAAGATGCTTTTTGGCTTATTCTAACAATCTGTCTTATTGGTTTCTTTAAGCATTTACTTTTTCCTGGCCACATCTCCATGAAGCCCAGCTCTGTTCTCTATGGACAGATGCTCCCATCTCTGCAGACAAGCTGCCCAGCTCCATCAGGTTGTCTTTGTCCTCCTGGGTGCTTCTCTGATTCATGCACTTCCTTGTCTCATTTGGTGGACGAGCCTCTCTTGGCCCCCTCTCTCTCGTGGTTGTGTAATCTTTTCATTTCCTAATAATGGATTAAATGTTCCATGGGATGTTCAGGGTTTAGTGTTTTATATTTTTATTGCCCAACCCTCATCTGCAATTGTCCACAACTCTGCCTCTGACTTGTGTGGAGAACTCTTTTTATCTTCATCACTGCTTAAAGGTGTATATCATCTGACAGGTGGGTCTTATCTAACAAATTACTTAGTTTCTAAAGATAGTAGTTAGGGCTTCAAAACAAGGTGGGTGATTACATTGTCACACCTCTTTTCTTCCATTAAATATTTTAAAGTGTTGTTGTCCTTTATCTTTATTAATCTGAAGTACTTTGTGGAGGTCTCTCACCTACAAACTCCATTTAAGCTCCAGGTTGTGAAGCATTAACACAAATGAATACTAAGGGGGTGAATACTTTTTCAACCTTCTTCATGTGCCTTTTCCAAATGTACTTCGGTATTTCTGTTTTAATTCATAAAGTTCAAATAATCCCTGTTGCTTCTTTTGTTTGTTTTTCTCAGGCATCTATGACAGGAAGTACTGTCAGTCTGTACCTTGATGAGTCCAAGACCACTGAAGATTCAATGTTTCACTCTGAAATAAGTCCCATAAAGAAAGAGAAAAGCCACAGTGAAGCCAAAACCAAAAGCTTGAACTTGTCATCTGGAGCCAGAGATGGATCGTCCAGGACCAAAGAGGACCCCTCTGATATATTGTCCCCCTCTGGTTTAGCACTGCACAAGGTGAACTATAAAATACATTTTCTATTCATTAGAAATGATTTTCTGAAAGCGTTTTAACTTGACACAGCTTTCTCACATCATAACAAATCTGTTTCTTGTTTGGTTCTGGTTAAATCTGATGGATTTCCTACACGGAACATCCAAATCCAAAAGGGAAAACATAAGAAATGAGATTGAGGCTTGTGGGTTTAGCTGGATGAAAGCACAGTAAAGACATTGATTCAGGGCCAAGCTGGGTTTATTCTTTAGCCCCGTTTCCAGCTTGGTAATCACATGAAACTCCCTGTATTCTAAAAAAGTTTCCAGTAAAATACTTTTTCCAGTTTATTGGAGTGGTCTTTACCACATCTTTTATTTTTCTGTATACTGTATATATTGGCCAACAATTTAACATGTTTCTAGAAAGAGTGGCTGAACTGGTTTTACTTTCTCAACTAACTATAATTTAAGCTGATAAAACTACTTGGAAATTTATTGCTTTTTCCACGTGTCTGATTTATGCAGCAATAATTTCATCCTTTTTTTTCTCAGGTCTCTATAAGGAAGGACTTTGAGAGCAACAGCTTTGGCTTCAGTGTGTCAGACAGACTCTTAGAAAAAGGAGTTTATGTGAACATGATCAGACCTGACGGTCCAGCTGACCGTGCTGGTCTAAAACCTTTCGACCGCATTCTTCAGGTACGATTTGTCTCTTTACTAAAGTCTTAAAAGTTTAAGGCCAACATGTTAAAAATTTATTAGTTGCTAAATCATAGTTTTTTACCAGTACAAATGATTTTTGTAAAAATCAACTACTGGTAGTTTTCACTTCAAGATTGTAAAGCTATAAACAAATTCCAGCAAAACATTTTAGGACAATAAAATTATTTAAAGTGTTTTGTTTATATGTTTTTTCCAACTGGGTTTGGTCTAGTTTTAGTACTTTAATAAAGAAGTGTTAATATTTAATGCAGAAAAGATATTTAATATATCAAATGAATTATTCCACAATTATTATGCCATTAATGTATTTTAAATTGCTTTATATATATATATATATATATATATATATATATATATATATACTTAAATATTTAAGTAAAGAATTGAGTTTTTTGTGTCTAACGTTTATCTGAAGGAGTCATTTTTATTTTGTTGTGATTCACCTCTTTAAATAACAGATGAGTAGTATTTAACATTTAATTAAACAGTTACACAAGGACAAACAAACTCAAACTTTAACTAAAATTACAAACCGTTTTTTTTTTTCAATAAAGTAAAACTTTTAAAGCTGTTATATTGCTTGCTTTAAAAATGTATCTAATAAAGTGGAAGTTTAGAGCGTTGGTAACTTAATAAAATCAGCAGGCCTGGTGTGTGAGGTAAAGCAGAAGTACACTTTTGTATAAATATTCTCAGGTGCTTTAAAACTATAAACTAAGTCTCTCCAGGAGTTATTTGTTGTAATATTTTGCTTTTAATCCTCCTGTTGGGTTCATTTCTCACTAAATACCTTTGTTCCTGGTCAAAGATAATTGCTGCAATACAGTATATCTGGTTTAAAATCCACCATAATACATGTATTATCACCTGATGCTATGATAAGCTTTTTATCAGTTAGTTTTCTTATGAACTGTTTGGTTCTGTTGGGTTTTTATGACCTGTAGGTCTTACTGATCTGAGCTCATGCAGCTTGTTTTTGTGGAAAACTAATTACCATATTTTTCAGACTATAAGTCGCACTTAAAATCCTTTCATTTTCTCAAAAATCAACAGTGAGTCTTAAAATCCGGTACACCTTATGTATTAATTCTGGTTGTGCTTATTGACCTTGAACAGATTTTATATGTGGTACACGGCGTTCAAAAATCTGTCAAAATGTTTTAATTTAGCTTAATGTGCCTTATAGTCTGAAAAATACAGTAAATCATAAAATATTGTAATATTTGGACTACACCTGTGATGGACTTGCAACTTGTCCAGGGTGTACCTCGCCTCTCGCACAATGACGGCTGGATATGGGCACCAGTGACCCTCGTGACCCGGCAAGGGAGAAGTAGACAAAGATAACAAATGGATGGATTTGAACTACAACAAATTTACAGATAAAACATGTTGTTCTATTTATAACTACTTTGTCAGTGTCAATTAAAGACTTTTTAGCATTGCTCACAATTCAATTTTTGGCAGCAAAATGAAGACAGACACCAAAAGATTAGCCCCCCAATCTTCTGTCATCTCCAAAACTGACTGGGGTTTCCTGATTGAAACAGTGTTGGTTTGGGAAAAAGCTTCCTGTGGGAGTTGTTATGGAAGACAGAGGATGCGCATGCATGTTGGTGTCCACTTAAAAACACATGCGTCTGAGGTTGTGGTGAATTTGTTACATGATTCACCTGATGAAGTCAGTTTGTTATAAATGTATGTGAAACATTAAGTTTCAGCCGCTTTTGAGCAGAAACATGGAGGACGTAGCCCAGCGGAGTAAAACGGTAAATTTAAAGGAAAAAATTATAAACTTGTCTGTTCAGGTAAGTCTTGTGAACAAAACCATGGAATTTCATGTCAATCAGAATTTTAGAAAAAAAAAAACATTTCAAAGAAATACATTCTATGAAACAATTTTACCTAAAACACAATAGAAGAGCTGAATTAAGTAAAGAAACAAAACTATGAAACTCTGAGACCTGAAGTAAAACACTTCCTGTCTGGATCTGAAGGAGCATGGTAGCTGCAGTCTCCGTGCTTTAGTAAGCCCCAGGTGTGACTGTAAACCGCACTGACCGATGGTTGAAGAAGTGGTTGTGCTTTTTGCAGGTGAACCGAGTGAGAACGAGGGACTTGGACTGTTGTCTGACTGTGCCTCTCATTACGGAGGCCGGAGACTGCCTGGATCTGGTCATTAGCAGGAATCCGCTGGCAGCCGCAGACGTGGAGCTGCCCAGCGACTGTGACGAGCCTTCAAACTCACTGCTGTGCTTTGCCAACTACAGAACCAACAGCATCGCTCTGTGAACACAAAGGAGGACGTGAAACACCGCAGCACTGGGACCACACACACACACACGCACGGTTAAATTTGTCACATGGTCACTCTCAGGCCAAGAAAACATCCCTCACATCTAAAATTATAAACGTTTTTTTTGTCCATGTTGACACTTTTATTCACAAAGATGCAGTTTTCCAGAAAACTGTGACCTCATTCCCTTTTACTCAACCTCCAACACGGGAGCTTCTATAACAGGAGCTTCTGGTGGGGCCAAGATGTCAACATCCGTGTTCACATTCGCTTTTTATTAAGCTTCACGTTCTCGTTGTACTATTTTATTTTAGTTTTGCACACAAATGGCAATGCTTTGTGTTCATGTTAAACCACTCACACAGAGCTAAAGGATTCTAGGTTTAAGGGACGTTGCACTTCTTTGAGTCATTTTGGCCACAAGTTGGCTCACTGCCTTGATTTCCAGTCTCCCCCCAGCACTGCCTGCCCTATAGAGGGGACCGGGCCTCCAATTAAACAGAATGCTCTTTGAGACTCACAAGCTATCGACTATATTTTAAACCCTGTTGTATCTGAATAGCACAAATGCACATGAGGTCCTGCTAATCTTTTAAGTTTATATATGTGTCCTCATTGATATGAAGTTTCTGCATCGTTCCAGAGTTCTGTGTTCAGATATCAATATGTTTTTTTAATGTTTTTTTTTTTGGTCACATTTACAAAAAGTTGTTTTTCAGGTTTCCAGACAGTCATGCCACCAAATCACAAAATCAAAACTCTTTCACTCAGAAGTTACTGCATAAGCTGGTTTTTGCTCCTATGTTCACTGATATCTGCAGCAGAGGGTTTTCTGGGGATTTTTTTTAAACACCAAAGTCACTAAGTGTTTTTCTGGGAGGGTAAAATGTGACAATCTGGAAACATATGTTGTCTTTTGCATGTTGGCTGGCGTGAACATGTCTCCTGTTTGTTGCGTTGTCCCATTTGTAGCAGCCTCAGAAGGTAAATCATTGTTGGGACAGTGCCCTTCAGATTTGTCTTTGATTAAATGTCATAATGTATTAAAGGTCCATTTTAAGTTTTCTATTGATTGTGTTACGTTAATTTACTGTTGAATTCATTTTTATGTGCAGTTTTCATTCTGTTTTAGTGTACATGCATTCAGGATGTTTCTACATGCAAACTGATGTGGTCATGAGGTTTCTGTTATTACTTGTTTCATTTAGCCTTTATTTATCCAGGTAGTCTCACTGAGCTACGAGAACTCATTTTCAAGAGAGACCTGTTTTTAGGGAGCAGATGGGGGTTTAGGGCCTTGCTCAAGGGCCCAGAGTGGGGCGAATGAGGGTGAGGGCAGGTGTGGGTTCTTCACCTACCCCACCCACATTTTTGATGTGGTACCAGGGCTTGAACCGGCGATCTTCCGATCACATGCCCACCTTCTCTAACCTCTGCGCTACCACTCCCCCACAGTGTTTCAACATCCTCATGAAAATATCCGGTCAAAAAACTTGAAATGCATTAATTTTATTTAGCTATTTTTTGCTGTTTTATTCATTTTTATTGTCTTTTTAAAATGATAAAGGTAAAAAGACCATATTTTAGCTATTTGTGCAGTTTCGTTTGGCTGAGCATGTTGATTTTTACTCATGATGGACGCAGTAATAAACCAAAACCTTCAGTGGCTAATGCAATTTTACCCACCCGTATTAAAATGCCAGGTTTTTATTAAATAAAAATGTGAAACCCTGATAGGACATTTCTAGACTTTTTCTACTGTTGCTGTGATTTTGTTTCTGTACAATTCAACTGAAGAAAAATAAAACTGCTGTGGGGAAATTTATGAAAAGATAAGATAAAACTTTATTGATCCCGAGGAAATTGTTGTACCAGAGTTTCAGTACAAAGGAACATACACAATGATGCATTAAGCTGGTAGCATAAGTGCCATTAAATTTTGTTTTTCCTGCGAACATATCTGTCTTCAAAAAGTGACTGATCAGCCTGAAATAAACTTCATCTGTCCTAAGATTTGTCTGATATTTACCGGTACGTAGCTTCATTCTAGCCAAGATTAACAGAAAGCTCACAAAGCTTTGAAAGGACCTCAATGTTAAAAATAATTCTGTTCAGTTCAGTTTATTTATATAGCACCAAGTCACAACAGAAGTCATCTCAGGGCACTGAACAGAAACATTCATACATAAAAATAATAATTTAACATTATTTATCTGTGGAGCAGACTGCTTTGAGTTTAACTCCATCGCAGAACTCTCATTTTAAGCAAGCATGAAGGCGACAGTGGAAAGGAAAAACTCCCTCATGAAGAAGAAACCTTTAGCAGAACCATACCATACCATACCAATTTATTTATATAGCACTTAAAACAGCAACAAGGCCAACCAAAGTGCTGTACAAAAGAACACAAACATGCACAGCGAACAGGAAAACATAAAATAGAAATACAGATACAAATAGCAGCAGAAGCTAACTAAAATGGCCAACAGAGTAGAGAACAGACCGGACCAAAACAAATCACACCGTGTTAAAGGCAAGCAAATAGAAGTGGGTCTTCAAGCGAGACTTAAAGACTGAGAGTGTGGGAGCCTGCCGGACACTCAGTGGCAACTCATTCCACAGTCGTGGACCTGCAACAGAGAAAGCCCTGTCACCCCTGAGCTTACGACGGGTTTCTGGGACTGAGAGAAGCATCTGGTCTGCTGACCTCAGAGAGCGCGGTGGGACATATGGCTGCAGAAGATCAGTGAGATAGGATGGGGCGGAACTGTTCAGTGATTTAAAAACGTACATGAGAATTTTGAAATGGATCCGAAGGTGAATGGGTAGCCAGTGCAGGGAGGCCAAAACCGGCGTGATGTGCTCTCTATAGCCTGTACCAGTTAAAAATCGGGCTGCAGCATTTTCGACCAGTTGTAGACGAGCAATGGAGGACTGACTGATTCCAAACAGAAGTGAATTGCAGTAATCAAGCCTAGATGTTATGAAGGCGTGGATCACTGTCTCGAGGTTCTTTTTGTTGAGTATAGGCTTCAGCTTAGACAGCCGTCTCAGCTGAAAAAAACAGGATTTGACCATCATGTTTACGTGACTGTTGAGTTTTAAGGACGGGTCCATTATCACCCCCAGATTAGTCACCTTTTGTTTCTCTAGCGGGGCTAGAGAGAAAAGGTCAATGTCATGGTTCATGAGTGAGCCACTGGGATGGAACAGCATGACTTCAGACTTCTTCTCATTGAAGCTTAAGAAGTTTAAAGCCATCCAGTCCCGGATGTCAGCCAGGCAGTCAAGAAGAGGCTGAATAGAGCGTGTGCCTCTGTGCCTCAGGGGGAAGTAAATTTGGCAATCATCGGCATAGAAATGAAAGGGTATGTCGTGTTTGCGGAAGATAGCACCTAGTGGCAGCAGGTATAAAGAAAAGAGAAGGGGACCGAGGATGGACCCCTGCGGTACCCCCCACTGGAGTGCGGTCGATGCCGAACTAAAATCTTTGATATTGACACAGAAGGTTCTGTCAGAGAGGTAGGACCCAAACCATTTAAGGGCTGACCCTGTGATGCCCACCCACTGCTCCAGTCTAGAAATGAGGATATTGTGGTCGATGGTGTCAAAAGCAGATGTAAGGTCCAATAGGACAAGCAGCACAGAATCACTTGCGTCTGTGGATATGAAAATGTCATTAAAAACCTTCAGTAGAGCAGTTTCAGTGCTATGGAGAGATTTGAAGCCAGATTGGAATAACTCAAGGATAGCGTGATCCCCCAAAAACTGTTTCAACTGAGACTCCACAATTTTTTCCAGTAGTTTAGAGGTGAATGGGAGTCTGGAGACAGGCCGGAAGTTGGACATGACTGAGGGGTCAAGGTTAGGTTTTTTCAGGAGGGGCTGGACAGCAGCATGTTTAAAAGTCTTTGGCACCACACCTGAGGATAAACTGCTATTCAGAATAGTGAGGATAAAAGGACCCAGGGTAGGAAAAACTTCCTTTAGTAGTCGAGGGGGGACCACATCAAAGGGGGAACCAGATGGCTTCATGCTGCACATTACCTGCTCCAGAGAGGACAGAGAGATGGGCTCAAAGTGGTCAAACACAGCCACACACCGAGAAGGGATGGACAGATCATGAGCTGGTGGAGAAAACCAGGCTCAGGACAAGCGGCCATCTGCTTCAACTGGCTGGGTTTGAGAGGAACAGGAAGGAGGACTAGATACACAATGGCAGGTCAAGAATCACATGTTAAGATAGAAATAGTATCAAATGAAAACTACTCAGTTTTCACAATTCATTTAAGAAAATGACATCCTCCCCAACAGAATTTTGAATAAAGTACATGCCATTTCCTGCATTCTGGTGTATTTTACAAACATTGAAAACATTTTTCACTTCAAATACTCTGACTGCACGACAAACAGCTTCATGAGCTGAGATCATCGTCTGTTTCATCAGTTCGGTGAAAGTTCAGATAACTCCTGCAGTGATTCACACATCAGATTGTTCACAAAAGCACAGAAACTTATGCCTAGTGCAAAACGTTTAATTATCTTGTCTAGACATGGCAAATGCATGAACCAGTATTTCTGCATCGTTTTTTGATTAGATGTTTCTAATTTTAGCGATGTTACGCAATACGCAGGTGGAAGAAAGCAGTTCTAGTAATGTATTTAATGTGGGGGATAAAAGACATGTCCTGATCGAAAATAACACCAAGATTTTTAACATTAGAACTGGAGGACAGATTAATGTCATCCAAGGAGGGAGAAAGACTGAAAAAAATATTCCTAAGATGCTCAGGTCCAAAAGCTAAAACCTCAGTCTTGTCTATATTCAAAAGCAAAGAATTTAGGGTCATCCAGGTTTTTATGTCTTTAAGACATGCTTGTAGTTTAAGTAGCTGATTGGATTCACTGGGTTTCATGGACAAATATAACTGTGTATCATCAGCATAACAATGAAAATTTATCCTATGCTGTTTAATAACATTACCTAATGGAAGCATATATAAGGTAAAGAGTATTGGCCCAAGCACTGAACCCTGAGGAAC